GTCTCTTGGAGGAGAGACGAAACGTTTCATTAGAGAAGAACCCGTCCAGAGGACCTATACTATTTTTTTCTTTTTAATTTAGAGTGTGCACTTTAGTTTATCTTGTTCAGTTTTTTGTTAAAAAGTATATTACAGTCCGTGTTTTAGCCTGTAAACTGAAAGCATTAGTCTGTATTTTACAGGAAACTGAACATGAACACGTGGACACTCCAGTTGGGGATGATGCAACAGACACTACCTGATAAGACAATGCTAACAGTTTATCCAGATATTTACTGATTCATATGAAAGGCAGTTTTACTCAGGATACAAAGGACATAATGATGGTAAGATTATGAGCAGTAGATAATTACTTTTAAATTAATGTGAGTTAGGTCTGTTATTGATGAAAATGAATATAAATGTTAATCTGTTCATTAAAATATTAGTTTTAGTAACAGTAGGTTTAGTGGATGAGCAGAAGTGTGCCACCACTGGTTTCTTCAAATGATTCATTAGAAAGGTCAGTCTTTATTTTTCAMACATCAGGGAACCAGACACACTGACCCCCCTATCCCAGTGGGCAAACCTTACTGGGATCATTCCTGCCAGTCATGTTTAAACATGTTCATTTTCACAACTTATTTATGTGACCAGCACATTTTAATCAGGATGTTGGAGAAAAATCAGTTTTTACTTTACTTTAATGTTTTCAGTCCTCAACTAGTTAAAGAGGATGAATGAAAAGTTGTTTCCAAACAAGAGAGCAGCTCTTACCCCAGCACAATAAGTTCTCCATAACTGACTGGTCCTTTGGTGGATGAAGGGGAGGTGGAGATGTTCTCCTGACCCAGTGAAAGCATGTGTGCAGCCTGGTGAGGGGTTAATTCTTCTGTCTCTGTCAGAGCATCACCAGGAACAAACACAACACCACATCTGGAAATAAAAAAGAGAAGCTCTCAGATGAAACAAAGGACTTTACTTAGTGTCGTGGCTCAATGACTACACATGAAGCAATACRTTTTCTTCAACTACAAGAAGACAACATAAGTTTAGATATTTCATTTAAATTCAGGAACTTTTTTATTCATGTAAACAAACATACAGACAAAGGCTTTAATACAGCACCAATCATTGCTACAATCCACCCAGACCCTCCCACACTCTGTGCTAGGAGCCACAGAAACAATGTCTGAACTCACTTCAGCACACACACACACACACACACACACACACACACACACACACACACAC